TTGAGATCAGGGAGGTTGACAAAATCAACAAGAGAGGTTGAAAATTCATGACGTTGGCTATAGCACATGCTTCGATGAATGGACACCCTTGAGGGCCGATAGAGGATCTGGATATTTTCCGTTTGTTCGCAGCGAAAAGCTGTTCATTCCCTCGGAAAACTCTCTAGAGGATAGAAATGAATCGTTCCATGGCCAACTTGCTCGTGAAATAAAGAAAAAGCTTTGGTCTGGACGGCGAGAGGACCCTGATATAAACATAGACCTTAATGTTGACCAAGATGTTTTCATGGAAGGTGTTGGGAGTGTTTTGCCCGGCGTTCTTCAACGAGGGAAGATGGTTTACCAATCGGAGTCAAATAGGGTGCTTGATTCATATCTGGGGCTGAAGTGGGATGAAAGAATTTTAAATGTAGCTGAAGATTTTGCCTATGTAATTCCAGGAACTATTTAGTATCGGCTGGGACAAAGAAGTCCAATCATTGAATACAAGCTCATCGTTGTAGGTGTTCTTAAACCCTTTCATAACCTGCTGCCTCCAGGAACTGAATCCTGTTTTTCTTCAGAAACAGTTGTTTGAGGGCATCAACCCCTTTGTGAATTGTGGATCTGAAGAAATCTTTAGAAGCTCTATTATTGTATTTTTCCAAGCCTTGCTGTGTGTAATATGCTATGTTCTGATAAAGTGACAGGAACTCAGGAACATGATAACATAGTGCATGCATGTAGGGAGTGACATCTTTTGCTTGGTAAACTTTGAGAAAGTGCTCAAACCATGATTTGCTATTTCTTTGCAGTTCAAGAATACCCTCTTCAGATGTAAAATCTAGCCTCAAATCACCAATTATGTCCATAAATTTAGCCCAGATCACTTGTATGTCTTTGTTTTGACAAGCATAGGTCAGAATTTTTATATTCTGAAAGAGTTTCAACTTTTCTGGTTGTAAGTAAGATCTCTATATTCCAGCTTTTTGCTCTCTTTGTTGATTCTAAAATTAAAAGTGATTCCCATACTTTTGATAAATTCTTCATAACATGCCATGTGTTTATATTTATCTCTTGGGAATCTATCAGAAGTTTTTTTTCTTGTAAACAAGTTAATCAAAACATCTGAAATCCTCAGAAAAAAATGTAATATATCTATGATGACAAGGTCCATAGGTATAAAATCAAATAATGGTTGTGCCTTACAGTTTAATTTCCTTCCAGTGGAAAACCTTGCTATTTCGGTGACAGTTCTAGCACCAAATTTGGGGTCATTAATTGACCATGTTTTGCTTGTGTCCCACCATTGCTCCCTGGGACACTTGCACCACACACAAGCATAATCCTCATTTGCCCTGCCTAAACCACATATCAGTGCTAAAAATTTCAAATCTCCACCTAAAAAGTATTCAATTTTATAGGTGCAATTATTTGCACTTATCTCCTTTAAGTTTGACATTTCCATTTGAAGGTCTGCTAGGCTGTCTCTCAGATTATGATATGTCTCTGTAGTTTTTATAACAGCAAGTACATAATTTCCCTTCTCAGCCATTGCCACATCCTTTTCATTGAGAATAGTAAATGTGAAGTTGACAACTGTAAGCCGCTTTCCAATATTTGTACCATCACCGCTAAGCTTGATCTTAATAGTTTCTCCATCATTGATTTCTCCATTCTTCTGAAGCCTAACAATGTGCTCTTGCAAACTTTCTGCAAATCCTAACTGAACACCTTCAGCATCTCCTGGTGTTGGTTTCAAGTTCCATTTACTGTTTAGCTCATTAATTCGCTTCTTGATGGAATATGTATTGGGGAGACCATTAGCCTTAATGGCAATTTCATGCCAGGCTTCATTTGAAATATTGAATTTGTCTTTGAGGTAGAGCCACATATTTATGTTATCAATGTCATAATTATCAAGGGCCTTTGGGTCAGACTCTGTAAATGGTAGCTCTCCCTCTCCAACAAGATTGAAAGTTTCATATTGATTAGTCTCAGTGTTGAGGACTTCAATTTTGGTTGCAACAAAATTGTACAGCCCAAGAAAAGAGTGTAGTTTGGCACTCGTCCTTCAGTTGGTTTTTAATTCTCTTTTGATGGTGCTTAGAATAGTCATAAAACTTCTTCTTAGCAGGGCCTCTACCTTTTTTCCCATTTTTAATCACTTTTTTGGCCAATTGAATAAATTTTTTCTTGTAGAAGGCCCCTTTCTTCTCAGCTTTCTCGAGAGCTTCTCGGGCTTTTTCATCCACTCGCAATCGCTTTGCCTTCTCCTGTACCAACGATTCTTCTAATTTTCTTTTTTCTCCCCTTAACTGGCTGTTCTCATCTTTAAGATGATGCACATCAACCTCGTTATAATACACCTTAAATCGATACCGAGGGCCCGCTTCCAAATTGCTAAGAAGTGCATTTAATTGCCTTCCGCCACGATTACTAGCTTTCTTGACAGCTTTCTGAAGGCTGAATATTTTCTTTCTGAAGACTTCTGAAATGCGGCTATTGATTATTACACCTCGTATACCTGATTGCTCAAACACTTTGTTTACGATTGTTGAAAGGACCGACTCATGGTTTTCTCCGTCTTCGTCTTTACATTGCTTTGAAATAGTATAGATTAGTAAGCTGAAACGAAAAATTAATCGGGGAAGTTTACGAAAAATACAGCCAACAAGCTTAGAAAAGGCATTTATTTAGACTTCATACTGCGACAAACTTCACAAATCTTACTTGTTTATCTCGTAAGTAAACGATGGCAGATTAATTCCCGAAGCGCTCTCTGATTTTCCAGATCCCTCTCCTACTACTTTCACGCTTACAAAACAGGAAAAAATCAAAAGGAGGAAGATACAGCTGTTTTGAAACGCCATTTGACGAGGGTAAATCTGCTTTTTGTTCGACACTTTACATATCAAAACAAAGGAAATTTGTTACTCTTTTTTATTCTGGCGGTACATTTTTAATTTGCGCCTGCGTAAAAGAGGTATCGTTTGAAACCCTTCGCTTGGTTGTGTTTTGATCAAAAACGCCTTGTTAATTTCACGCAACCGCTCGGAGAAAAGGTAAAAATGACGGGGGTAAATCTGCTTTTTGTTCGACACTTTACATATCAAAACAAAGGAAATTTGTTACTCTTTTTGATTCTGGTGGTACATTTTTAATTTGCGCCTGCGTAAAAGAGATATCGTTTGAGACCCTTCGCTTGGTTGTGTTTTGATCAAAAACGCCTTGTTAATTTCACGCAACCGCTCGGAGAAAAGGTAAAAATGACGGGGGAAAAACTTTACCTTCAAGTTAGAAAATTAGCGAAATAGAAAGCCAAAATATTATAGTTTAAAATTTCAGAGGTACATTGAGTGCTTTTTCCGTAGAGAATTCGCACGATGGTAAAATATTCGAAAATTACACTCGATTTGAGTGGGGCGTTGAACTGGGCGTGGTCGCTATATTCATGTTAAGACTATTTGTACCCCATGAGTTTGATATGTTTAATCATGCAGAATGTATTATTATTTAATAGAATCTAATTTCATTCAATTTGAAGCCAAACTGTCTTTAGACATTTGTTCGCATACACAAAATCCCTAGAAACAACTATGGAAAAGCTGCTTGATAATAGGGAGCAAGGCTCCAAAGCTTTCATCAAGGAGGCTATCAAAGAGTTCGAGACTACTATGTTAAAAAGACTGTTAGGTAGGTAATGTAAACTTAAAATTTATAGCGTCAGGTGTTCCACTACAGTAAGCATCACATAAAAGTTCAATTTGAATGAAGACGTTTAAATTCGTGGTAAACGTAGCTATGTGTAGCTAAGCATTTTAATCATGTAGAACGTATTTTTATTTGATAGAATCTAATTCCATTCGATTTGAAGCGAAAACATCTTTAGGTATTTGTTCGCAGACATTATCTTCGAATATCTGAGTAGCGAACAGTTTACCTAGAATGAAGCTGGAGGAAAACTGTGATGTGCCGCACTCTTTGCGTAACCCCAGCTGAAACTTGAAGCTATGGTCTAGGTTGCATTTCAGTCAAATACAGACCGGAGCCTACGCAAAACTACCCGAAAATTTGAAACCGCGAACAGAAGAAACAAAATTCTCAAAACATATTAGGGCCGCACAGCCGCAAATACAATAAGCACCATCATGTAAATCATAAATCAGATTAGAATTGCGGTAGGTACTAAAACATGGAACGACCTAAAACCACCTAAAACCAGCTACAACCACCTACAACCATCTACAACCACCTACAACCACCTACAACCATCTACAACCACCTCAAAAATTTCAACAACGACCTACAACCACCTCAAAAACATCTACAGCCACTCGCAGACTATCTAAAACCATCTAAAACAAGGCATAAATGTCTTAAATAAGGCGAAACGACAACACGTCACGTACATGAAATACGAGAATCGAATGAAACCTCCACCTCCCCCTGAAATCTTACTCTCCCTGGTCCCATGTATAATCAACCATCTCACGAAATGAATGCGAGAGCATGCCAATGATATTTTTTATTTCCTCAGTAGTAAAAGACCTAAAGAACTTTAATAGCCGACGTTTTGGCTCACGCTTCATTTGATTACGTAATGGTCCAAGGTAGTGTTTCTCTCCATTTATAATCTCAGCAATGGAAATGTAATTGGAGCAAGACGTGAGTCACTATTGCGTAAGTGGCACCACTCGCACAACTGCATGCTGTATGAATATCAGTACGATGGCGTTCGTGCCAAGGGAAGATTCCAAATGTACGCACAGTTCGCTTGAAATATTTCTAATGATCATTCTTACTCATACTTTTTCTAGACTTGAGCCAAAACGTCTGCTGGTAGCCAGGGTAGAAAAAGCCAAGTCAAGTCTGTCTTGACTACAAGTTTGTTATTTGACTTTATTACTTTTTGTAACTTGATAGTTCATTTTGTAAAGTTCTTTAGGTCTTTTACCACTGAGGTAATAAAAAATGTAAATATCTCGCAAGAGCTGATTTCGAGTTTTACTTTATTGAAGGAAGAGCTGGCGACTCCCTTACTCAACATCACGGCTATCCCTTTTCAACCAAGGATCGGGACCATGACAGCCATAGCAGTAACTGTGCTGAGAAATATAAAGGAGGCTGGTGGCATTTTGACTGTTATTACTCAAACCTGAATGGTGTCTATCAGACACAGACCAGTGGATTTTTACAGCATAAATAACTGATTATGAGAAATAAAATTGAAAGGAATCTCGACACGATTTGGCTCGACTATTTAGTCCTAATAAAGATCTGAAGTCTCTTCCCCCCCCCCCCCCCCTTCTAGAATACAACCGACATAATTTTCAAATACCAAAATACCAATGAACAATGACCACTGACAGGCTTCCCGCAACTTTCAGTAAGGAAAACAATTAAGTTTGAATTTTTCCCTGAATTAGAATCTACTTTTGGGGTTTCATGATATAGCCACTTAAAACAGGGGTATTACTTAAAAGTCCAGTCCGGGTCAGTAACATTATTGACAAGTGTAGGGTTCGAAACATGCTCACCTTCCACTGCAAACTGAATGTTTTTGGTGGCGATTTCATCCATGCATCTGTCTTTCACTCGATCATTAGTGAGAACCGAGCGAAATTTGTGTATTGTTTAGGTTACAACCTTGATGAAAGTGAATAGAACACACATGCGGATATTTGATGTCGCAAGTTTTTACCGCATCTCTCCTGATGTTTACGCCTTCTTTTGGAAATTTGTTCTGTGAGCGCACGTTGATGTTTACTTATGGTTCGATTTTTATAAAATGATACATTATTTCTCCGTCTGAGCGATTGGAGCAACCTACAACGCAGCAAAATCTCCCCATCGTTGCAAACGCGCTCACAACTCTTGCCCAGCACCCTACAACTGGTGAGGCAGGAAACACGTCTGAACTCTGATACAAATCTTAGATGTCTGTCTTTGTTGTTTCTTGTGGGCTTCATGCCAATTGCATTTCATTTTTAGGAGACAGCTCCTTTTATTCGTGTAAAGAGATTTTTGAGAATCAGAAGTAAGTCATCGCTTTCATTGGGTTTGTTACCTGGTTCGATTCAAGGTCAAGTTTAAGCGAAACTATGGCGAGGTTTGTCAAGGAAAAATCCAGAGCTTTCGCTTTTCTTCTACGCAAGGTTTCGAGCCGAAAAAAACTTTTATATTCGACCCTTTACTTGCACTCTTCAGTCAAGCTCAAGCTTTTTTTTTGGTTTCACTAGTATATATTGAATTTTTGAGGTCTAGCACATGGTCATGTTTTATGCTCGAGTATAGATTTCTTTTACACTGTTTACTCTGAAAGGCTACGTGAAGGTGAAGGAGTAGAAGAAAAAAGTATCAATTCTTCCGGGTGGCTTCTGGTGCAGTGACTAGGGAACTAAAGTCTACGAGTCGTAAAATAAACACCATCTACTTACAGGTGGTTTCCTGCTGTAGGAGTTAATCAAAAGCGTCGGTCGATGTATGCAGGCAAAATTTCAGTGTGGATCGTTAGTGCTGTCAGTGATAGTGTTGCTAAAATATATTTATGTTTTCCTATTGCATTTTCAATTTCAATGGGAAATTAAACATGCTTAAAGGTTTCCTGGTGATTCAATCTTTTTTGTGGGGCGAGCGTGGTGCGGTGAAGATATCATCGTTTTGAAACTTTATCGTGCATTCAATCAGCATTAGCGGTAGCTATTACCATAGCGTTTTCATAGAGGCGAATCCAGGAAGCTTTGATGGGGGAAAGGGCGCCTTAATTTAGATTAGTCTCGTACCCTGACCTTTCACGGCCAAGCGGTTGTAGTTCCAGTTACACGGTAGAATATGGGTACGAGATTTTAAAAACCTTGATTAACAAATCAAAGAAAAAATATTGTAAAACAAGTAGATGTATAACACTTCTCATTGTGAAGTATCGCGATCTTGTCGTTACAGCTCATTTGGTGTCAGACAAGGAGTAAAAAAGAAAACCTTACGGTTTTGACCAGAAGAGGGAAGGGAAAGAAGTTCCCCTACCCGGCATCTACAACTTTTCGCTGCTGTCAAGGTTTAATTTAATAACAATGCACCTAATCGATTACACTGGAGATGGGGAAAATAAACAACGCGCAGTTACCTATGCCTTTTCCTTTATATTTGCTTATTTAAAATGCCTTGTGAAAAACACAGGAAATGTCATTTATGAGACCCAAAATTCGAAAATTTTTCAGAAACAGTATGCCTCAGACTCTCCTTCTTTTGAGCGACTTCGTCGTTCAATATTTTCTGCTCGTTCGTACAGCTTCATAATCTCACGCTACGCCCCTAGTTATAAAAAAAAGGTTTTAGAATAATTTTTAATTTTTAGGCTCGAAGAAATCTGAATAAGCAAACAATGTGATAATCAGCCGAACAAAGTAAACAACAATACTCCACCAGTGCCTAACCCTTCAACCCCTCAAAGTGACCAGCATCTAAGTTCTCCTTACAATATCAGCCCTGAATCACTCATCAAGGTCCAAAATTAAAGAAATGATCACCAACTAAAGAAGCTCTTGATTGTTAAACAAATTCTCCATGTCAGCACCTTAGGAAATGTAAAGAGAATAGTATGGAGAATATGCATACTGATGTTAGGGTGTAAAATATTTAACTGAAAGGTCGAAGATACTAAGTTTGTCAGATGTGATATATTATTACCGACCATGATAAAGCCACTATCATAATGACAACGAGATATGTGTACATCATAACTCCCCGCCATGGACAAGAAATTAGTAAAACTAGAAGAAGGGATTAGAAGAGAGTACTGAACTCTTAACGTAACGTTAGTTAAGGCGGATACTGGTTAGACAACTCGAAAGCCTTGTAATGCAATGGTGCAACCAGGCCTTGAAATTAGCAACCAAGCCTTTGAATTTGTTGCATTTTCACTAATAGCACTCGAAAGTGAAAATTTCTCATTACAGTTATGAAAATATCAATTTCAATATCATTATTACTTTTATTATTATTACTATTATTACTATTATGGCTATTATTACATTCTTAATGCTGAAAAAATGCCCATTATACCGGCATCATGCTCAATGCTCCCACAATAGCCCAAAATTATGCCGGCATAATGCATCTAACCCTAGCTCTAAAACTACACTGATCTGATTTTAATCTCAGCTCTCCTCGCAGAGTAGTGGTAATCTTTCCAGTGATACCAGTTGATTCCATCAGCATACGATGAGTGCTTCCCATGATGATAGTAACCACTGAGGTTTGAGCTATCACAGGCCAAGCACCACAAGGCTCCTTTACGTTCCTTATCACAGCTACCGTCATAGCTTGTCATTTTCCTGATCCTTGGTTACAAACGGATAGCTATAACTAACGGCGTAATTTCTTCCAGTCGGTAGTCTTTATATGGAAGATTTTACGCCAGTAACTAACGGCGTAATTTCTCCCAGTCGGTTGTGTTTATATGAAAGATTTTACGCCAGTAACTAACGGCGTAATTTCTTCCAGTCGGTAGTCTTTATATGGAAGATTTTACGCCAGTAACTGACGACCTAATTTCTTACAGTTGGTAGTCTTTATACGTAAGATTTTACGTCAGTAACTAACGGCGTAATTTCTTGCAGTCGGTGATATACATAATGTAAATTTTACGCCAATAATATAATTTAATTATATATTGATTTATTATAATTAATCTACCGACTGAGTAAGTGGCGTAAAATCTTACAGTATATAAACTGTGCTAGTTAAACTATAATAGTAAACAACACCGATAATATGATGAAAAGCGTTGTGAAGAACACACCTCTTCATAAAAGCAGGAAGAAATTGTCGAAACACACCGTAAGGAAGACTGTCGCGAAGAAGCTCAGGGCAGCAAGCGTCGAAAGACAGTCGATAACCATACTTTCTACCATACTATACTATGCTACCATACTTTCACAACTTTTAAATCACAGTTAACGTGATTCAGAGATAATGTACAGGTCACCAAAGTCGGTAGATCAGACTGCTTTTGATTGTGGCCGATTGGGATGAAAACATTTTCCGACGATAGTTCTTGCTGCTTCAAACACTGAAGTTTCACTTTTCAGTTTATAAGTGCCAGCTTATATTTTTGTGAGAACTGAGGAACTTTCAAAAACTTCATGCTTGATTTGACATGTGGTAACATTATATTTTTGATCGGTTTAAATGAAACATGCGAGCAAAGACGTAAGGCGAGCAAACCAGCGCGATGGAATAACTTTGTTGATTATATAATAGATAAAAGATCGTGTGAACTTGCTCGTGTATTTCGTAAATTATGATCATTTTTGATAATTTGCACTCACCCACAGCTCGAGCGAGTTTGAAAACTTTTCTAAACATCACTCGTGCCCATAAATCAGGAAATGCACTCGAGTCCATACGATTTCCTATGCATACCCGACAATTCTACAGGAGTACTTAAGGGTTAGCAGGATTACTTTTTAAACAATCCTCTATTTCCTGGGCCCGAGAATTGTTTGCCACAAGAGAAAGTTCCTCCTTCGCGACTGTACCTTTTGACCCATGGAAAATCATATTCAAGCATTGCGCCGGTATTTAATGTGGAAAATTCTAAAGTTATCGTGACGATGCAAGACGTTTTTAATGGCCTTTATGAACTTCGTGACGAACACAAAATTTCCAGAGACTCAATGAAGAAAGTTCGCTGACCCTATCCCGATCTCGGAAGTAGGATTGTCTCGGGTACCCGAGACCACATAAATGGAGCCTGACGTAGCTAACTGTAAGTGTAAAATAGGTCCCTATGTTTAAGGTGAAAGTGCCTATCCCTCATCCCCTTGGCCAATAAAACCATATCCAGAAGGCACACGGGACCCAAGGGAAATAGAAATTAACAAGGACCTTTCCTTTGGAGGGGTTAAGCTTGAATGTGCTTTTGTCGTTCTAAAAGATAGATGTAGAATACTGTCCAGGTCGTCATCTCGTTATTACTGTTTTACTATGAATATTGTTCTCTTTATTGTTATTATAACTACTATTATTATTTTATTTTTACTAGGGCTTAAGAGGTTGAAGAACTGTGCCAAGCTGCCTAAATCTGGTGAAATAAACAGCGGTGTTTATGCAATTAAACCAGATGGTGCTGGACCTGTCTTTGAAGTGTTTTGTGACCACAAAACTGGAGGCGGGGGATGGACAGTGGTCCAAAAGAGGCTGGATGGTTCTGTGGATTTTGACCGCAACTGGTCTGACTACAAGAATGGCTTTGGTAACCTCGATGGCGAGTTTTGGCTCGGACTGGAAAAAATACACCGCTTGACAAAATCCCCGAGCAAGCTTCGAGTCGATCTGGAAGATTTTGACGGCAAAACTGCTTACGCCGAGTACGACATGTTTGTAGTAGCGACTGAAAGTAAGAAGTACCAGTTGAGCGTTGGGAAATATTCAGGTAAATTGTTTGAAGCAAGTAAAAGTAATTGTTCCAATTTAACCACTTCTATTTAGTTGTTTTAAGAACGGCTTAGAAGCTTTTGGGTCATTTGTATCGAGTGCAGTGTCGCGAACTTCACAAGCGTTAACTATGAAGACTCAGAATTAGTATTTACTTTTTAAAACTGTCGTCGTTTTCTCGACCGAGAGTAACAGTAATTTAAGTCTTAGCTTCTTAGGTATGATTGAATTGCACGAGGTCTTTGTGAATATCTTGCAAGAGCTAATTTCGAGTTTTACTTTACTCTAGGAACAGCTGGTGACTCCCTTACTCAACATCATGACTATCCCTTTTCAACCAAGGATCGGGACCATGACAACTATAGCTGTGCTGAGGGACATCAAGGAGGCTGGTGGTATGATGCTTGTTATTACTCAAACCTAAACGGCGTCTATCGTCATGAAAAGGACTCAGCTGCCTATGGAGTCAACTGGAATAGCTTGAAAGGAACCCCTTTCCCTCTGAAGAGGGCTGAGATGAAAATCAGACCAGTGGATTTTTAGAGCATATGCTAGGTTATTAAGAGAAATAAAATTAAAAGGAAATTTGAGCTGACTTGGCCCGAATAATTAGTCCTATCAAAGTTCTGAAGATTCTCTCCTCCCCCCTCTATAATGCAACGAACATAATTTCAAATACCAACGAACAGTGACAACTGACAGGCCTCCCGCAACTTTTAATAAGGATAACAATTAACTTTCAATTTTTCCCTAAATCAGAATCCGATTTTTGGGTTTCATTGAACCACTTAAAACAACGGTATTAGTTGGAAGTCCAGTCCGGGTTGGTAACATTATTGACAAGTATAGGCTCGAATCATTCTCAGCTTTCAATGACCAAATGTTTTTGACGGCGACTTCATCTATGCGTCTGTCTACCAATTGATAATAAGTAAGAACCGAGTGAAATTCGTGTATTGTTTAGCATATAACCTTGATGAAAGTAAATAGGACACAAATGCGGGTACTTAATGTGGGCATTTTCCATCGCATCTCTCTTGATGTTTGCGCCTTCTTTTGGAAATGGTTGGAATTTTTATAGAATGATACTTTAGTTTCTCCATCTGAGCGATTGGAGCAGCCTACAACGCGGTAAAATCTCCCCATCGTTGCAAACGCGCCCAAAACTTACTGCCCACGACGCTACGTCTGGCGAGTCCGGAAAATATGTCTGAACTTTGATAGAAATCGCTGGCTTCATGCTGATCTGATTGCATTTCATTTTTAGCGGACAGCTCCTTTTATTCGCGCAAAAAGATTTTTGAGAATCAAAAGTCATCGCTTTCATTGAGTTTGTTACCTGGTTCCATTCAAGGTCAAGTTTAAGCGAGACTATGTTGAGGTTTGTCAGACAAACTGATCCAGACCTTTTGCCTTTCTCCCGCGCAAGGTTTCGTGCTGAAAAAAGCTCCTTTATTCAACCCTTTGCTTACGATACTCAGTCAGGCCTAAGCTTTCTTTGGCCTCATGGGTATATATTGTATTTTCGAGGTCTAGCGTGGTCATATTTTGTGCTCGAGTAGAGATATCATACACACTGTTCAGTCTGAAAGGCTATTTGACGTAATGGGGAGTAGATGTAAAAAGCATCAAATTTTTCGAGTACATACTAGTACAGTGACAAGGGAACTTATTAAGTCTACGAGTTGCAAAATAAGCAACATCCACTTACTGGTGGTTTCCTGCCGTAGGAGTTGATCAAAAGTGTCAGTCGATATACGCAGACAAAATTTCACTGTGAATCGTTAGTACTGTCAGGATAGTCAGTGCAACTAATTTCTTATCTTAAGCTATGTGCCTGTGCAGTAAGTCAGGGAATAAATATATTTTAGCGTTGCTTGGCTCAAATGATAATCGTTGAATTTTCGATTTCAATGGGAAATTAAACGTGATTTAAAGTTTCTTTGTGATTCAGTATTTTTTTTTGATGGGAGTAGTGTGGTGCAGTCAGTGATGATTACATCGTTTCGAAACTTCATTGTGCATTCAATCGGTAGTAGCAGTAGCTATTACCATAGCGTTTTCATAGGGGCGAAACCAGGAAGCTTTGATAGGGGTAAAGGTGCCCTAACTTTGATTAGCCTCGTACCTTGACCTATCACAGCCAAGCGGTTCTAGTACCAGTTACACGTTAGGATCTGGGTACGAGATTAAACTTTGATTAAGAAATCAAAGAAAATATAATAAAACAAGTAAATATATAGCACTTTTCATGGTGAAGTATTGCGGTCTTTTCGTTGCAGGACTTTTGTCAGACAAGAAGTAAAGAGAGAAAACCCCACGGTTCTGACCGGATTGGAGCGAGGGAGGTGGAGGGGGGTGAAGGGGGTTTGGATCCCCCCCTCCTTCCCGGTATAGAAATGTATCTACAACTTTTCGCTGCTGCCGAGGTTTAATTTATTAACACTGCACCTTACCGTTAACTTTAGAGATGGGGAAAATAAACAACGCCGACTTACTTATGCATTAATTACTTTGTATTTGCTTACTAAAAATGTTCTGCGAAAAACGCTAGAAATGGCATTTCCAAGACCCTGTGTCTAAAAACTCCATGGGAGAACATGTCTCCAGATCCCTGTACTTTGGAGTGCCTTCGTCGTTCAATATTTTCTGCTCGTTCGTACATCTTCAGAATCTCACACTACGCCCCTAGTTATAAAAAAAAAGGTTTTTAAATAATTCTTAATTTTTGGTTAAAAAATTATTGAAGAAGTCTGAATAAGTATACAATGTGATTATCAGCCGAACAAAGTAAACAATAATACTCCACCAGTGCTTAACCCTTCAACCCCTAAAAGTGACCAGCATCTAAGTTCTCCTTACAACATCAGATCTGAATCATTCATCAAGGTCCAAAATAAAAGAAATGATCACCAACTGAAGAAGCTCTTGATTGTTAAACAAATTCTCCCCGTCAGCACCTTAGGAAATGTAAAGAGAATAGTATGGAGAATATGCATACTGATGTTAAGGTGTAAAGGGTGAAACTGAACGGTTAAAGATACTAAGTTTGTAAGATGTGATGTATTATTACCGACCATAATAGAGCCACTATCATAATGACAATGAGATTTGTGTATATGATAACTCCCCACTATGGATATGCAATTAGTGAAACTAGAAGCAGGGAATTAGACAGGAGTACTGTACTCTTACCGTTACGTTTGTCTATTAGGTATCATTTCTAAATGGCATGATCCTAGTATATTAGAGATTCCTAAATGCTTATAAATAAACGTTTAAAAACTGCAATAGCTATTAAATTGAATAGTGCACTGAGACTTTCTTCTCTATAGTGAGATGTTGAATTGATGGTTAAACAGTAATAACCAGATCAATAAAAACTGGCATGTAATAATGTTCATTTTGAGAAAATTACCTCCCTTTCCCCGAAAAAATGAAACGCCAGAAAGTGGTCAAGAATGATACCTTTTGGCACAGCTTACCAAAAACCCAGGTTTGTGATCCTTGTTGTTAACCTCAAGGGAGGAGTAATACAATGAAGGGCGGGAGTGGGAAGGCAGAGGGGCGCAAAAGTACGTGAGTTAGGAGGCTGTGACTCCCCCTGGCCCCCCCGCCCCTATTCCCCAAGGCCTTTTAATGTAACGGTGCAACCACGCCTTGAAACTAGCAGCCAAGCCTTTTAATTTGTTTCATCCTTACTAAAAGCACTCAAAAACAATTTTCTCATTACAGCTATGAAAATATTAATTTTAATATCATCATTATCATTATCATTATTATTTTCTTTATGCTGAAGAAAATACTCATTATGCCTGCATTATGCTCGTTGCTCCGACAATAGCATTATGCCCAAAATTATGCCGGCATAATGCATCTAACCCTAGCTCTAAAACTTCACTGGTCTAATTTTCATCCCAGCTCTCCTCGCAGAGTAGTGGTAACCTTTCCAGTGATACCAGTTGACTCCATCAGCATTCGATGATTGCATCCCACGATGATAGTAACCATTGAGGATTGAACTAATACAGGTCCTGTACCACTAGGATTTTTGAAGTTCCTTGGCACAGTTACCTTCATAGCTGTCATTGTCCTGGTCCTTGGTTGTAAAGGGATAGCCATGATGTTGGGTAAATGATTCACCAGCAGTTCCTGTAATAAAGTAAACATTTGAAATTATCCCTTGCCTAAGAGGTAAAGACAAAAATTCCCGTTACCCTCAGTCGAGAAATATATGTTACTCACCAGCCAAGGTCGGTCCGTATTGGGAAAACTGTGCCCGAGGTTTTGTAGGCCTCGGGCGGTACACAAGACCTCGGGCACAGTTTTTCCCAATACGGACCGACCTTGGCTGGTGAATAACATTTATATTTTTTTCTAAAACCCAACAAATGGTTGCGAAAAGAACCTATTGAGCCGTGAGCGGGCTGGATGGGGAGAATACTACCCGCTCTCGGAACCAATCAGATTGCAGGATTTGTAGAATACCGCCCTCTCACGAACTGAGAAAAAAGTAAACTGAGTTACTGTTTTGGAAGATCATTAAATACTAATTCCAAGTCGTCTCAGATAATGTCCATGAAGTGTCCTACAATGCATTTACTTTGGTATTTCCGAGACATACAAATGATCGAAACTTTTAAGCTTTTCCCAAAAAAACTCCATCGTTACCTAAACGCTCGAAACGTCAGCTTTGGAACTCTTAACGGTGCCCCATTTAAGTTATCAACTCAGTTGCTAAAACTGAATCACCCTGTTAAAATTAATAGCAGCCTTATAAAAATATTTTGTATCATTAAATAGACTATTCACAGTAAGTAAGACCGCCAAGAAAATAGAGGATAATGAGCCATCTTATTATTTTTTTTACTGAATGGATTATGATAATATATTATTACCATCTATTTTTCAAACACCAAGATGAGTAAGCTCCTATAATGCTTCTAGATAAGATAATTAATAATTTAAATAGCTAACTTTCTTAGTTAACGAGTGTCGCAGAAGAGAGCAAGTTAAACCCTTTAGCAAGAGGATTTTCTCGACCATCTCATGTCCGAAATTTCGATCACTTCCAGTTTAATGCGCGATTCATTGTTTATGAAGTTTGTATTCTTGAAGCAGGCCAAATCTTACTTTAATGACAGAAAACGAATTCCGCCATCAACCGCGATCTGTACCTAGAGATTAAAATTTGCCATGTTGCGGATGAGACTGAAAAGCTTCACTACAAGTGATTGAGAAGGGATAACAAGCTTATTGTGGCATAATTCCTATACATCATATTTTTCCAAATAAAGAAAGCGACAATGGTGAATAGTTACGACAAGCCGCCTGCCCAAGAGAATCGGCGGATGCGACCATTATGCGGTGCTCCGGTTCCTCTGAACGCACGAGCGTGAGACGCCAATAGCGTTTGTTGATGAGCTACCTGTTTGGGCATGTGTTTCAGGAAAATAACCTCTCTACAAGTTTCAGTGGTCTTTGAACGTGAAATTTTTGTGCAACTAAAATTACTCTCGGAGAAGTCCAACCATTAGTTGTGGTTTCCGTTTGAGGGTTCATATTTTTAGGAGTTTAGGTGATTAGGTCAATAGCCACAACTGGTGGTTTTGCAATTACTGTTACTCAGGCTTATGAGAGTCTTTTAACGGCCATAGCTGGTCTCAGACATTAGCACTATTAAATTAATAGGGCACGAGTACCTTAGAGAGCGTTTGAGAACGTTTGGTCAGAGCTGTTGAAGACAGATCAAAGCGGGAATCCAAATCTTTGCAAGGCTACGACCTAGATCAAATTTGTCACTGTCGAAAACTAGTCATTAATAATATGCTAAACAACAGTGATTACGTTTGTCAGTTAAAAACCAACTGAATACGCGACAGATAAGTACATCAAAACACTTCTGCGTGCAGGTTTAATTTAGGTCAAATTACATTTATTCATCGTACAAGGAAAAGCAAACGGTCTAACTGTTAACAAAATGTTTGGTCAAAATCGGCCGATTTCTGTCGCTTTTACCGCCATATTAAAAATAACATTGCCACAATGCAACGTAATCAGAGTGCACACACCACCTGCTTGCTTTCTTTCTTTTGTTTACCTTCAACTGCGCATTATTCCAAACTTGCTTATTTGAAGCACACCCTAACATGCTCGATTAAATCCATGTTCGTCACGCAACGACCTCCGTCTTGAACTGTTGTGTGTTACATTTGCGGTAGTTTTCTTTACGCTTTGAACGATGACCGATACTCAAGAAAGTGTCGTGGTAAACCAAAATACTAATGGTCAGAGATTCGGATTCTTGAGGAGATCAGTGAACAACTGTATTGCAAGTGAATGGTCTTTTTACATAACCATCGCGGCTATAGTTGTTGTAGGGGTGGCTCTTGCCCATGATCACGCCATTAAATCCCTAGAAGCCAGCTTCGAAACAACTGTGGAGAAAATGCTTGATAAAGAAAAAGCTTTCATCAAGGAGGTTATCCAAAAGTTTGAGACTAACATGGTTAGAAAGTTCGAAGAACATAGGAGACGGTCAGGTAGGTAGTGTGAAATTAGAAATTCAATAATTCTGCAATCGACATCATAACCCTTGCGAAATGGATTTTGGAATTCCCAGGAATTCCTACGTATTTTTTCCTACATGTAGGAACTCCTAAGAACGCCAGGAGTTCCTAGGAATAAGAGGTGTGAATTTTCACGGTAAATTCGGACTGGGACTTCCAAGGAATTCTAAGGAATTGCTAACTGTAACAACTCTGGTTCTAAAAACCTACAAATTCCCAAAAATTCCAAGTTAATAGCCAACAGGACTTGGAATTCCAACTTAGAGCACCAATGACTTTCCCTAAAAGGCTGTAAATCTAAAAACTTGCCAGAAATTCCCTAGAAATTTTCAGGAATTTCTATGAACGTTCAAGAATTACTGTGAATTTTAAGCAAAAATTTGAGGCAACTAACAAAATAAATACTGAAAATTAAAAACATTTCAAGTATTCAATGAAATTTATTTACATGCTTAACTCAGGTTTGTATATTAACATTAACATGTAGTAATATTAGGATGGAATTTGATTTCTTTTCCTTTTCTTGAAAACTTCATAAGAATTATCCTCAATTACAGCTATTCATATAAAAATAGTCCTAATCAATCATTAAATTTGGTTTGACACAAATAGTGAATAAAATCTGTTGATTCTTTTCCATAGAATACAATAACTTGAATTATATTTATTGCAATAAATACTGTCAGTCAAAAAATAATCTTTTTTAATGAATCATTTAATTTTGGATGATGATACAAATGGTATTCAACCCTTTGCTCCCAGAGTCAAGCTTTGACTTGATTTTATGTGGTTGTAACTTCTTTGGATAAAACTCTTGTGTGAACATTCAAATGTAGGCTGTCTCTAAGCAGTACTTTCATGTTTTACTGTTTGTTTTTGTTGATTTTGCACATTGAAATTCAAAGACTTCTCAATTTCGACCAAGCACTCTTGGGAGTGGAGGGGTTACAGTTAAATAAAATTGATTTCTGAATTAAATCTTGTTGTAACTAATACAATAAATTAGAATAAAGTTATTCTAAACTGCAGACTTAGCTACTGTAAGTCTTTTTTCCTGGGCTCTTCGCATGGAGTTGTATGTGCTTAGTAGAAGACATGATGAATACTCTTGATGACTGTGATCTTCTAGAAAAAGTTGTCAATATGACAAGCGTACATGAACATAATGATGTTACAGTGTCAATAAAAGTACAACAATTCAGATCTCATCATGCAAAGTATGTATACTATAATTTTACTTGTGCTTTGTGAGAATGCCATGGCTATAAACATGATTGTGAACCAAGCAGAGTACCAATGAAGATGTTAAAAGGTCTCTCTCAGAAAATTAGAAAACTGCAGAGTTATGTACAGAGCCGTTTAAGTAAAAACGAACTAAAGTCATCAAAAATCCATGATCTTATTAAAAATAATGCAACACGAAAGAAAAGTACACATAAAACAAGAGTCAGGTTTCTACAGAAAATGAGAAAACCAATTTTTAGAACAAGAAACGTTCACTCTTCAATGAGGTATGTCTACAATTCAAGTAGTGATAAACATGGAAAGAAACATCTCAAATACTTAAGGTTCTTTTCGTGTAATTTCCCATATAGTAAGTACATGGCCTTAATTTGCAGAGGGAATTGTACAAAGAACAAGCTCTATATTGATATAGAGAACCTTGGTCCTTGTATGCACCATGTGGATCCCAGTAGGACAAAAAAAGCACCATATAGTCAAGGGGATGTTGTTGTATTTGGACACCACAATATGAAAGGAATAGGCAATCCTGATGTCTTGAAACAAATAATGCACATTGAAAATCAACTCTATAGCAGTTTGTCACAATTATCAAGACAATTATTTTTACTGCTAACAAATTTACCATCAATGCTTACGGTACCAAAGGTAGATTACCAGCTAGAATACAATGAAAGTTACTCTGGTAATGTCCATGGCGAGCCTACCATTGAGGGATATTAATACAGTATGGGCCTAAAAAGAGCTTTTGTGTCATTGATATCAGAACAATATAGGTCATTTATTTTAACAGTTGGATGTATTGCTGTGGGTATTAGTTACTATGCTGATAATGGCCATTTTAAAGTGTTTGACTTGCATGCAACAGATGTTTATGGTAAAAGTCATGCTCAAGGGACATGTGTCCTATTAGATATATCATCTACAGACAACTTAGTGCATTACTTTCAAAGTTTATATGAAGCAACTGATTTGTATGAACTAAAAGGTTTACAAATTACAAAATATGACATGGCAATAAGCAACAATGTAAGAGAGGTATTAAAGAGATCATCAGGTCAACGCAAGCGTTAAAAAGACCACTGTTTTGCAGTACTCAATCATTTCTCCTTGTAGTTACTGGAACTCAAATACCTTAGGTCCAATCATTGAAAATGGATCTCAACTTAACAATACAAGGAAGCAATGTTTAACATCTGTTACCCTGCCTAACAGTGTTACAAATTTCGGCACTAACATAAATGTACATGTTAATGATTGAAGTAAGTCACGGAGAATTAAGTAATTTAACTGAAAGCAGAATATCTTCAGAGACCTTGATTTTAAGGAACCAGTCTGGGAAAACAGGCTTTTTAATGTGGATTTCAAGTTACTGTATAGCTTGTATTTATCAACAAAATACAAAAGTAAAGCAATTGTTTTCTCTTCAGACATATGAAGACAGTCATTCACCTGCAATGAAACAGACAATACACATTTGTGGTGTGAATAATCTAGTAGAGGAAATTAATAATATCATTCAAAATAAACAGGAATATCAGACTATGGAATATAATATACAATGTATTTGCTGTTCATGTAAAATTACTGAAATTGAAAGGAAACACATCATGAGAAAACAGACTCAGAAAAAAAACATATGTATAGCAGCATGGAACCTGTTGCCAAAAAAAAAAAGACATTAAAAAAATTCAACTATAGATGCTACAAAGAAGAAAGAATTACTTTCCCAGTGCAATGAGAAATTGGTGACAGCCAGATCAGTTGAATTGTGTATTAACCAGTTTAAGAGGAAAATAAGAGAAGACCCTTATTTTATATGTACTGTCTGTAATCAAATACTTTATAGGAAATCAGCAATAACATACATAAACAAGAAGTACCCTTGCCAATCATATTTCAATATTCAACAGTCACTCAATGGAAAACAGTAAATATTCAACACACGTCATTCAAAGGTTATAAAAGGAAAATTTCCATTTCAGGCTGCAGTAAATAATATGTATGTGGATGAAGTAACCACAAAACTATCCTCACTAAGAATAAATACTAATATCCCAGTGTATGGTATTGAGAAGATTGTGGTCATGCCTGAAGGACGACAGAGAAAAGTTAAAGGTGCAAAATGGAATGTACCTGTAGAGTGTGATCAGACATGTAATCAACTCGTTCGTCCACCTGACAGATCTGGTATAATAATGCTAGAGCTTAAAAGAAAGTTACAATTTAGAGGACATGTTCTATTTCAATCAGTACGATGATAGTTAATACAGCAAGTTCTTTACTGGCTCAAAGTACACAATCCATTGTACAAAGATATACCAGTTGATATTAACAATATTGATTGCAACCTCACAGCTTTGCACAATGATGCAGAAGATATTGATACACATCAACAAGCTACATCAAACAATGTAACAACAGATAGTGATTCTGCACTGGAGTATGATGTAAGAGAAAATGATAAATTAAATAGCAATGAAGAAGAATATTATGATCCTTAAATGAATATAGAGCCCCAGTATGCGAGACATGCTTAGAGTCAATTATACCAAACTATCCAGTGGTGAATGCTCAAGTAAAGCGCTCGATACAAAGCCCGAGCGAACGCTCCTCGAGCGTCTAGTTTTGTTTTTATCAAAGAGGGCTTCTTTATGTAATCAGGTTTGTTTAATCAAAGTTTGCATTATGAATCTAGAATGTTCCGAAACGTGACTAAAGTAATCTTGAAACCTTACTGATAGATTTATTTCATTGTAAAGTGTAACCTTAAGAAATCGCGGCATGCAAGTGACCTATTCGACTCTCAGAATTATTCGAGTTTCAGCTGCGCCAAGCATTATGTGAGCTTAATTCAAGCCGTTATATCTATTCTTTGGTAAGATTTTGATCACATAATGAATATCGCAATTTTTACTCACCACAAACTTTCAAAATCGTAGTTTTATAAATGGCCACTCGACCCTTATTCATGCCAGTCGATATTTCAACTGCTGTCCCTTCTTTTTACTCCACGGCGCTAACGACTTTCTTTTCATTTACAACACTCACGCTGTTCTCGTTTTCCCATTGAACCACAATAGAACCCATCTCTAGAAATGTTATGTTAAACAAAACAAATGAGAATAGAAAGAACTTGACGGCCGAGCAGTCAACTATTAAAAAGTACATTCAAAGATAAGCGCCAAATGGAGTTTTCTCTGTTTCCGATCACGGTTATGATCACGTGGACCTTTTGGGAATTGTCAGTGGTTAGCAAAGTGTCAAAGTATCATTGGCTGGCTTGTCCGATTGCAGTCTCAGGAGAAGCGCACAAATTTATTCTGACTTCTCTAGCCAGTTCCCTGCATGTGGACGATGGATACCTCGGATCCATGTTCTGACGATGATATAAATAGTGATGTGAGCTCACTATGTAGAAATTATCGACAAGAATCGATCGTACTACAAATGCACGATTTTACCGATTAATTGGTGGTAAACGTAGCTATGCGTAACTATGCATTGTAATCATGTAGAATGTATTTTGTTTGATAGAATCTGATTCCATTCGATCGGAAGCAAAAATATCTTTGGGTATTGGTTCGGAGACACCATCTTCCGAGTAGCGAACAGTTTTCCAAGAATGAAGCTGTAGGGAAACTGTGATGTGCTTTACGTAACCCGGCTGAAAGTTGTAGATATAGTTTAAGTCACACTTTAGTCAAATACGTGCTGAAACCCATGAGAAACTCTTAAAAAATTTGAAACTGGATACGGAAGAACCAAAATTCTTAGAACATTATCAGGACCACACTGCCACAAATATAATAAGCACCATTATGTAAATCATTGATCAGACATAAGTTACAGATTTCACGCCAAACTGAAACATAGTCGAGCAACTTGAAGAAAATGCAAAAAAAAAACCCTTGAAAGCAACACAGACTGGTTGAGTGTCTGGCAAAATTTGAAGAATACGAGTGCGAGCAACTTGACAAAATATATTGTTCTGCCAAAAATGCTCGCTACTGGCGGTCAGGGATGTTCCGTTGAGTTACTGATCCAATATCTTCGTAGACATCCTCAAGAGCTGCGGGACAAAGGTCATTTTTACCTTACCATAATCGAAAACCTCAAAATAAATGTTGGGTACATAACGAAGCGGCTCGTGTAAACAGCATCGACGATATGATGAAGAGCGTTGAAAAGTAAAATCTAGGTGACTGGGTTCGCAAGCGAAAAATCTCTTTATGATTACGACAAAGGTAACGACAGCGAAAAGCAACTATCAGCTGCCTCTATAGCTAGCAGCTTCTAGCAGTTTCCAAGGTGTACCAGAAATGTGGTCTTTCCTTGCAACGTCTTCGACATGTAAACAGGAGAACACAAGCGGCCATGCTTTCACAATTGTCAAGTCACATATGACGTGATTCAGGGGCAAAATCCAGCTCACCATAGTCAGCAGATCAAAATGCTATTTACTGCGGCCGGTTGGGATCAAAGCATTTTCTGACGATCGTTCCTGCTATTTCACTCTTCAGTTCATGAGTGCAGGCGTATATTTTTCTGACAATTGAGAAACTTTGAAAACTTCACGCTTTATTTGACATGTGGCAATAATATTTTTGATCGCTATAAGTATAGGTAATCACATGAGGCCAAGTACTATTAAGGATTAATTGCACGAGAGTTTTCAAAATTTTCCAAAATTGCCCGAGTCGCGAAGCGACGAGGGCAATTTGGAAAATTTTGAAAACTCAAGTGCAATTAATCCTTAATAGTACGAGGTCTCATGGGATTACTTGTTTATCAATAAAGGGCAAAATTTATACGAAGGAAAATCACGCGCGCAGTCTATTTTTATCTGGGAAGCAACGGATTAGCAATGCAACGGATTAGCCAATCATTAACAGGTAATCATGCCCTCTCTTGATTACTAAAAATGCCCTCGATTAAGAAAAAAATGCCCTCTCTCTCAACCAATCAGCGCTCAGTAATTTTGCCCTTTATTGATAAATAAAATATGCGAGCAAAGACGTAAAGCCTACAATGTAACGCGATGGAATAAGTTTGTTGAGTATATGATGGATAAAACATCGTGTGAAATTGCTCGTATGTCTCGTGATTTATGGTCATTTGTGATGTTTGGAAAGTTATGAAATTTGCACTCGCCGTAGGCTTGTGCAAATTTTAAAACTTTTCTATACATCACTCGTTCCCATAAATCAGGAAATGCACTCGTATCTATACGATTTCCCACACATACCCAACAATTTCAAAGGAATACTTTAGGATTAACAAGAATACTTTTGGAACAATGTCCAATTTCCTGGGCCGGAGATTAAAGAGGCAAAACTCACAATTCATGAATTGTTTACCACAGGAGAAAGTTCTTACTTCGGGACTGTACCTTTTGGCCCACTGAAAATCGTATTCTAGGGTTGCGCTGGTATTTAATGTGGGAAATTCCACCGATATCGTGGCGATGCAAGACTTTGTTAATGGCCTTTAGGAACTTTGTGCGAACACAAAATTTCTTAAACTCCGTGAGGTAAATTCGTCGATTGCATTGTTTGCTGACCTTACCAATCTACCGAAAGTTGTGGGTGCCATCGACGGCTCACACGTCATAATAAGAGCACCCACAGCTAGCGACAGTGCACCAGATTATTTCGGTCCGTATCAAAAACACGACTACATAACCCAGGCTAAAGTTGATGACAAGAATAATTATGTGGACTTCGCATGTGGAATTCCTCGAAGCATGTACGACGCTCGCGTATTAGGGTGAAGTGCTATCTTTCAAAGAACTAGACAGGGGGACAACCTAAGCCAGCTAAATATGAATGTAAAATAGGTTCTTACGTTTTAGGTGATAGTGCCTGTCCCTCTCTTTCGCTTGGCTAATAAAACCATATCCTGAAGGCACACGGGACCCAAGAGAAATATAATCTAACAAGAACCTTTCCTTTAAAGGAGTAAAGGTTGAGGGTGCTTTTGTCATCCTAAAAGATAGATGTAGAATACTTTCCAGGTCGTCATCTCGTTACTACTGTTTTATTACTATTATTATTATTATAACTATTATATTAATTCATTTTTATCAGTGTGTAAGAACTGTGCCGAGCTGTTCAAATTCGGCAAAACAATCAGTGGTGTTTATAAAATCAACCCAGATGGTGCTGGACCTGACTTTGAAGTGTTTTGTGACCAAGAAACTGCCGGCGGGGGATGGATAGTGGTCCAAAGGAGGCTGGATGGCACTGTGGATTTCCACCGCAATTGGTTTGACTACAAGCATGGCTTTGGTAACGTTGGAGGTGAGTTTTGGCTCGGACTAGAAAAAATTCACCGCCTGACGAAATCCCAGAGCAAACTTCGGGTCGATTTGGAAGATTTTGACGGCAACGCTGCTTACTCCGATTACAACATGTTTTCAGTGGCAAACGAAAGTGAGAAGTACCAGTTGAGCGTTGGGACATATTCAGGTAAATTGTTTGAAGCAAATAAAAGTAATTCTCTTGATCAGGTCTATTTTGCTGACGGTAGAGTTTTTTTGGGAAAGATTTAGAAGTTTGTTGGTCATTCACCAAAGTAAATGCACTGTGGCGAACTCCTTCGGCATTTTCTGAGACGACTCGGAATAAGTGTCTTATGACCTTCCAAAGCTGTAACTTAGTTTTCTCGACTGAGGGTGACGGGAATTCTTGTCTTTACCTTTTAGGCCAGGGCTAATTTCAGATGTTTACTTTATTACAGGAACTGCTGGTGACTCATTAACTTATCATCATGGCAGTCCCTTTACAACCAACGATCGCTGTTCAGATAATTGTGCTAAGAAATTTAAAGGAGCCTGGTGGTACCATTCCTGTTATAACTCAAACCTCAATGGTTATTATCATCATGGGAAGCACTCATCGTTTGCTGATGGAGTAATCTGGCGTTCCTGGAAAGGTTACCTCTACTCTGTGAGGAGAGTTGAGATGAAAATCAGACCAGTGGAGTTTTAAAGCTAGGGTTAGATGCATTATGCCGGCATAATTTTGGACATAATGCTATTGTCGGAGCATTAAGCATGATGCCGGTGTAATGGGAATTTTTTCAGCATAATGAATCGTTTGGAAATATCGTTGTAGGCACTTGCTGAAGAGATGATAGACCAGCTTATTTGTAGTTTTCATCGTTATCCTTGAGTTTCCAAATGTGTTTTGCTAGTTCGGTGCGGTTGGCGTATTTTCTGTTGCGGAATGATAGTTTATGTTGCGTATATCGTTGTTTGAATGTTCCTTCAGTTAGTCCGATGTAGTTCTTTCCTGTGTCGTCTTTGTCTGTGGTCACGTTGGCTTTGTAGATTACACTGGTGGTGTGGCAGTTGTTGTCTAGGGGGCATTGGTATTTTTTTTCTACAGTTGCATCCTACGGTGGCTCACAACTGTCACGGCAAAACAAAATTTACTCACCGCAAAACAAAGAAAACGAGTTGGTCAGCGGTTGTTATTTGCATCTGAAATGGTACGTCGTGTAATAATAACACACTGCTCGCTCGAAAAACCGCCATTTTTCAACTCACGATGTTTTGCTGCGCGTGTGGTTCGGTAGTAGACGAAGATGCAAACTTTTGTAAAAGCTGTGGTAGAGGTAAGTTTCTTAATTTCAAGTGTTCGTATTTGCATTTCTTTTAGTTCCAAATAACGATAGGCGTGAAAAGACACTGTTACAAATTAGCTGATTAGCACTTGTCTGGAATAAGATTGTGCATGTAGCCTGTGTGTAAAAAGAAAACATTCATAATGCATAGGCCTTGACGAAATAAAGATTTTTCAACAGGTGGAAAATACTGTACACCTGCAAACAGTCAGAGAGCACGAGGTTAAAGGCCAAAACATTCCTGATTATTTCCAAAATCATTCATGTTGAGTTTTATTGATGTTAAACAGACTCAAGGAAATAACACTGTTTAAAGTAAAGTTTCCTCTGAATATTAGAGGTGTAAGCTATACTATTTTGCTTCTTTGTTTTTTTTTTTCACCTGTTAAAAAATCCTTAATTCATCAAGGCACATACATTATGAATGTTTTCTTCCTACACACACGAACACTTTAACTTACTTTAACTTGAAGCCCTGATTTTTTTTCAGGCTTCTTCTCTCCAATTGCTTAAATTGGAAAATTTACTGCGATGATCACATTTCACTTTCACTTTAACTTAAGAAACGTACCTCTACCACAGCTTTTACAAAAGTTTGAATCTTCATCTGCTATCGAACCACACGCGGAGCAAAACATCGTGAGCTCGAATCAAAGTGCTCTGTGAGCAAACTCGTGAATTGACAGATGACTTATATGATTTTTTGGATTATGTTTAATTTTTTCTGGTTTAGGGAATTTTTTGGTTGATTGTCATATTTAGAGTACGAGCAGTAGTTAAATTATTTGTTTAGGTGTTATTTGATTTTCGGTACGAAATGTAGGGATCGATTTTGTCCCCAATCTCACGCCATAACAGAAAAAGCTTTTGAACACCAGTAAACTCTGAGCGCTTCGGAGTAACTGATAATTTTAAGGAATCTTCGGATTGTTTTCAAGTTCAAGGACTGTAAATTACAATTTTACGAAAAACGAAGGTTGTTCTCTTATTTCATTGTGAATCCTCGCACGCCTGCCAGTCGCTGGCGACGCTTGTTAACTAAAACGAATAAATATTAACTCTTGTAAGATTATCATTGGCTTCTTTTTCACCCCACCACTACTCTTAGCAATAAAGGTCGCCATTTCGTTTGTTTACTGTTACACGACCTACAATTTTAAATGCAAATAAGAACCGCTGACCAACTCGTTTTCTTTGTTTTGCCGTGGGTTAATTTTGTTAATTTTGCCACCGTATGGGCCACCGTAGGCCACTGCATTCAACAGTTGGGAGTTACTACATCACGGGCGACGAGTGGGGGAAGAAGAAAAGACCGAAATACGAGTGGTCAGCGGCGAAATAGATTTAATAAATCATATGGAGACATATCAGTTATAGCTGCAGAAACCAATAGTGTTGTAAAGCCGAGTATACTTCGCCAAATAAAATGTTAAGCAATTTTTCAAAAGTGTTGATGGCACATATATCTTTTACTGCTGTGTTAAACAATGGAGACATCGGACAAGGCATCGGTGGCATCCGGAAAAGCACTAAGAAGAATTATATTTACGTTTTGCAATTTGCTGCGTGACGTGCGTGACGAAAAAAGGAAACCAAAACCGTGGTCCCCTGATGAATTCTCCCACCTTACCCCAAAAAATTTTCAAATTTTTCGCAACTTCACCCGTTCCTATTCGTAGGTCCGGCCAAGCCTTTGTAGTCATTGGCCCTTGTATAGCTGCTAACTAAGGCTTATAAATACAGGTGTTTAGTGTTAAATTGTAAAACTCCCCGAAGAAGTCTACGACAGATAGACGAAACGCGTCGGAGAATAAAGAAATTTTAAAACTACTGTTCGCAGAATGCTGTTCACCAGTTTAGTTTTAAAGATTTTTTTTAATTTGGTGCGATAGCTGTGGTCACTTTTTCCATGCAGGTTGTCTGGATATACCTTTCGCAGAGACGTGGAGGGGACAGAGACCAACACAACATTCCACCTGCCGTTCGGTTCGAAAGTTAAGTTTTCATCCCGAGTTCATTTGTTAAATTAAATAGGAAAAAACACCTCGAACGGAAAACAGAATTATTTTAACGTCTGGATCTTTTGAAAAAAGGTCTCTTAAACGAGTGGCCCTGATAATAAATATTAAGCATGGTAAACTCATTAGCCTTAACTTGGCTGTTTCTCGAAGCTCAGTGTTTTCCTACATGCCTTTTTTACGTGAAATGAGGCGATTGAATATATGTAATAAACAATAAAAGAACTACAACTGATGGAAAATTTAAATTTCTTATCTAAAGGCCGTGGATACAAACTTATTAATGACTCTAAAAATATAAAAATCTAGAACGAAATTTTTTTAGAGTTGCTTAGCTTTTCATTTTTCCGCAATGGACAGTCGAGATTGCAAAATTCAAGTGAAAAGCAAATCAGCTGTGATTAACGCCTTAAACAAGTCAAGATACTTTTTTTCGTCATACAACAAGTTGCATATCGTAAATGTCATTCTTGTTGATGCCTTTCCCGGTGTCACCGATGCCTTTCCCGATGCCTCCGTTGGTTAATATAGCAGTAAAAATATTGTTCCAGTCAAAGCGTTTGGAAAATTGCCTAACTTTTTAAGTAGCGAAGTATAACCTGGTAACATTTTGGCTTTACAACACGATTGTTTTTTGCAAGTTACAAAACGTAAATACAATTCTGCTTGGTGCTTTTCCGAATGCCACCGATGCCTTTTCCGATGCCTCCATTGTTTAATACAGCAGTGAAAGATATATGTACCATCAACACTTTTGAAAAATTGCTTAAAATTTTATTTAGCGAAGTATACTGTTAACATTTCGGCTTTACAACACTATCGTTTTCTGCAACTACAACTGATATGTCTCTCTATGAGTTATTTAAGTTGTTTCCCCGCTGACCACTCGTATTTCGGTCTTTTCTTCTTCCCCCACTCGTTACCCGTGATGTACTAACTCCCAACAGGTTCTTTTCGACACGTTCGTCACGCAACGACTTCTATTTTTTACCGCTGTGCGTTACATTTTGGATAGTTTTCTGTATGCTTTAGCTTTAAACAATGACCGATACTCAAGAAAGTGTTGTGATAAACCAAAATACTAATGGTCAGATATTTGGATTCTTAAGGAGATTAGTGAACAGCTGTATTGCAAGTGAATGGTCTTTTAACAAAACCATCGCGGCTGTGGTTGTTGTTGGGGCGGCTCTGTACCAATATCACGCCATCCAATCCCTAGAAGCCCGCTTTGAAACAACTGTGGAGAAAATGCTTGATAAAAGGGAACAAGGCTCCAAAGCTTTCATCAAGGAGGCTATCAAAGAGTCCGAGACTAACGTGCTTAGAAGACTGTTAGGTAGGTAATGTAAAGTTAAAAATTATAGTGTCAGATGTTTCTCTACAATAAGCACCAAACTCGTGGTAAACGTAGCTATGCATTTTAATCATGTAGAATGCATTTTTATTTAATAGAATGTAATTCCATTCGATTTGAAGCCAAAATGTCTTTGGGTATTTTCTCGCAGACATCAAACCCCTAGAAACAACTATGGAAAAAATGCTTGATAAAAGGGATCAAGGCTCCAAAACTTTCATCAAGGAGGCTATCAAAGAGTTCGAGACTACATTGCTAAAAAGACTGTTAGGTAGGTAATGTAAAGTTATAAATTATAGCATCAGGTGTTCCACTACAGCAAGCATCGCATAAAAGTTCAATTTGAATGAAGACGTTCAAGTTCGTGGTAACACGTAGCAATGCGTAGCTATGCATTTTAATCTTGTAGAATGTATTTTTATTTGATAGAGTCTAGTTCCATTCGATTTGAAGCGAAAATATATTTGAGTATTTTTTCGCAGACATTACCTTCGGTAATAATATCCCGAGTAGCTACTCGAGAATGAAGCCGGAGTAAAACTGTGATTCGCTTTGCGTGACCCCGGCGTAAAGTTGTAGATATGGTCTAGGTCGCATTTCAATCAAATTCATGTCGGAGCCCATGCAAAGCTCTCCAAAAATATGAAACCGCAGAAGGAAGAAGCAAAAATCTTAGGAAATTTTTAGGATCGACCTTCCACACATGTAATAAGCACTATTATGTAAATCATTGGTCAGATTTGAATTGCAGATTTGCCGCCAAACCAAAACATAGTCGAGAAACTTAAAGAAAATGCGAAAAACAAAAATACCTTGAAATCAGCACAGACTGGTTGAATGTCTGGGAAATATGGGCGAATGAGATGAGAAAGTTTCCCAGGTGTACCAGAAATGTGGTCTTTTCCTGCAACGTCTTCGACATGTGAACAGGAGAACACAAACGACCATAATTTCACAACTGTCAAGTCACATTTAACGTGATTCAGGGGCAATATACAGTTTACCCAAGTAGGTAGATCAGAATGCTATTGACTGCAACCGATTGGGATCAAAACATTTTCTAAAGATTGTTCCTGCTGCTTCAAACACTGAAATTTCACTTTTCAGTTAATGATTGTAAGCATATATTTTTCTGAGAAACCTTCAAAAACTTCACGCTTGATTTGACATGAAGTAACATTACATTTTTGATCGCTTTAAATAAGACTTGTGAGGAAAGGCGTAAGGAGTGCAAACTAGTGTGATGGAATAACTGTTGAGTATATGATAGATAAAACATCGTGTCAACTTCCTCGTGTTTTTCGTGATTTATGGGCACGAGTGATGTTTCGAGAGTTTTCAAATTTGCACTCGCCCACGGCGCATGCAAATTTGAAAGCTTTCTAAACATCAATCGTGCCCATAAATCAGGAAATGCACTCGAGTCTATACAATTTCCTATGAATACCCGAAAATTCCACAAGAGCACTTAACGTTAAATTAACAATATAATACTTTTTTTAAACAATGCTCAATTTCCTGGGCCCGAGATTAAAAAGACAAAACTCACAATTCAGGTATTGTTTACCACAAGAGAAAGTTCTTCCTTCGGGACTGCACCTTTTGGCCCATGGAAATCATATTTAAGAATTGCGCCACCATTTCAAGTGGGAAATTCTACTGTTATCGGGGTGATGCAAGACTTTTTTTAATGGCCTTTATGAACTTCGAGACAAACACAAATTTCCAGAGACTCCATGGGGTAAATTAATCGATTGCATGGTTTGCTGACCTTACCAATCTACCGAAAGTTTTGGGTGCTATCGACGGCTCTCACGTCAGAATGAGAGCACCTACTGCTCTCGAAAGCCCTCCGGATTATTTCGTTGGGTACCAACAGATGCAGTACCCTTTCTCAAAGAGCTAGGCTCGGGGACAACCTAAGCCAGTCAAATGTGAATGTGAAATGGATCTCTACGTTTTAGGTGATAGTGACTATCCCTCTTCCCCTTGGCTAATGAAACCATATCCAGGAGGCACACGGGAC